ATGTTACGATCGGACTTAAAATGGCGACGTAATGTATAAAAAACAAAAAGGGCGGTATTTCTAGGCGTGGCAAAAAAATATTTTTTATATTTTTGGAAATGTTAATAACATATCTTTAATCGTAGGGGGTGACTGACTCAACTTTTTTTTTCGACCCACCCTATCATACATTCCGAAATTTTCGTGTTTTTCGAATTAAAAGATATTTTTTGGAAATTTAAAATATAGTAACTAATTTATGTGGAGACTTTGGATACAGTTAAATACTAAAAACTTGGTCTATTTGAAAACTTTAAACTTTTGAACGCTTTCTATAAAAAGATGCCAAAAAATTAAAAATTTTTAAATATTGCACGTTTTAATGACAGTGATCTATGAAAGATTGATATATTTTTTGCATAAAATTTTTGGCTATAAATAAATAAGGGACCAGAAAACGTATTATGGACCCATCCTTACAAAATCTGGTAATGAGATTTTGGATCCTATGAAACTTGATTGTGATGATTTTCATCACTGTACTTGTATTTTAGACTGTTGTATGTATTTTTGTTCTAATAAACTTGTTTCTGACGAATTTCACCACTATGCTAATATTGCCTGTTTTGAGCGTTAAAGCGTGGGGATCTAATATGGGGATAGGATCAATTATGAGCCGATCATCACCAAATTTGGTAAAGTGATTTTTATTCCTGTTTGTGTTGAATTTCAACATAATACTGCTATTATTAAGCCAGTTCTGATTGTTAAATTAAAATTTGGAAGATAGATTTTTGTTCTTATACAACTTGTTCTCATACAACTTGTTTATCTCGAATTTCGTCGCTATACTGCTACTGTTAAGTCAATAATGATCGTTAGAATATTTTTTTAAAAGGGCCAATTATGGTTCGATGTCCGCAATATATCACATAAAAAAACTTGTGCAAAATTTTATCTCGCTGCCTAATTAATATACATAACTATGACACTGTATTATGGCAAATGCCTTTTAAATGATATCACTGTCGCCCCACTCTAATAAACTTTTATATCTTTATATAACAAGTGTTAAAAACGCATTCGAGTGACCCACAAAAATTCATTTGTAATGTTTTAATAAACAAATATTTTGTGGCTCTTTTAAAACACATGTTTTGTAAACTGTAAGTTTTGGCTCTTCCGACTCAAAAGGTTGCCGACCCCTGGTCTAGTCTATAGTCTAGTCTATAGTCTAGTCTATAGTCTAGTCTATAGTCTAGTCTATAGTCTAGTCTATAGTCTAGTCTATAGTCTAGTCTATAGTCTAGTCTAAAGTTTAGTCTATAGTCTAGTCTATAGTCTAGTCTATAGTCTAGTCTATAGTCTAGTCTATAGTCTAGTCTATAGTCTAGTTTATAGTCTAGTCTATAGTCTAGTCTATAGTCTAGTCTATAGTCTAGTCTATAGTCTAGTCTATAGTCTAGTCTATAGTCTAGTCTATAGTCTAGTCTATAGTCTAGTCTATAGTCTAGTCTATAGTCTAGTCTATAGTCTAGTCTATAGTCTAGTCTATAGTCTAGTCTATAGTCTAGTCTATAGTCTAGTCTATAGTCTAGTCTATAGTCTAGTCTATAGTCTAGTCTATAGTCTAGTCTATAGTCTATAGTCTAGTCTAGTCTATAGTCTAGTCTATAGTCTAGTCTATAGTCTAGTCTATAGTCTAGTCTATAGTCTAGTGTATAGTCTAGTCTATAGTCCAGTCTATAGTCTTGTCTAGTATATACTTTACGCTGTAGTGTTTCCTACATTTTTGCCTATTAAATATTTCTCAAATCTGTCCACCCCATCGAAGCAGTTTATGTAGATATTTTGGAAAACTACTTCCCAGACATTTAGTTTAAACACGTAAGAGGTGTGAGAAAGATTTTGTGAATGATTCTTCTTGTTCTTTTTTTCGATTTTCTTCCTTATTTTATGGGTGCTCTTTGGCTTACACTTGTCAATTTGTGGCTTTTGTTGAAATATTTTCATGTCATTCATTGCTGCAGTCACTTAGTCCCCCTCCCTGTAGCAAGCATTTCTGCTACTAGTGGTAAATGTTCATTTGTGTGAACTGCTCAACTTTGTTATTGTGTTGTGGGTCGGTCGTATATTTCATTTCAAATAGTCATACATTTAGTTCAGTTAGCTTTTTTATGCGAAAAGAATACAAACGTTTTTTTAGCTTCTTTTATTTTCACTCTATTTAAAAATTTTTTGGTATTTGAAACGTTTAGCCATAATTATAGATAATTGGCATTTAATTGAACTGTCATAAAATTTGACATTTTAAAGGAAAACGGATAATATAATACATACATACACATATTTATAATAAATACAGGAAGAAAATGTTTTGTGTAGAATGATGAGGACAATGATAATGATATCATTGTACTGAAATTGATTTTTGGTTGAAGCAATTACTTTTCGTAAATTAGGTAATAAAATTTAAAAAAAAAAAAATCTTTATATAAGTTAAATTGGTTTAATTTAAAGCAAATTAGTATATGTAGCAAACAGAACGTCATTTTGTGAAAGTAAATCAATAGAAAAATGTTTACTTAACTAAAGAGACATATTGATATTCAAGTTGTTTTTGCAAATTATTTTTCTATTTAATTGTCTATCCCAAGTGTAATCAATATTCATTAATTAGTTTCAATTAGAAGCAACAAAGACGACAATTGCGTAGCATTTTAATTTCAGGTCTAAAATTATTTAAAATATATTTTAAAGAAAATTTTTAACATTCATTTAAATAGATTGTATTGTTTCGTGTTTTGAAATTCAACCTTTTGAAATTGATAGGTGAATGCACTAAACTCTAACCGGTTCTTGTATTCACTCAACTTGGCAGCACTAATTGATGGTTGCAGAACATACTTATTGCTGAAGTAAATACATTTCACAACAAACAGCTTCCGTATATAATGTTTCAAATTAATTATACCCCTTTAGGGATTTTAATAATTAATATTAATTTATATATAGTATATGGAGTCAAGTATAGTCTAGTCTATAGTTCAGTCTAGTATATAGTCTTGTCTATTCTGTAGTCTACACCATTTCAAGTTTAAATTGCGAAAATACAAACTCATATTGAGAATTTCAATTTAAAATTTAGAAAATTCAAATTAAAGTTCAGAAATATAAATTAATATTGAGAAAACCCCATTTGAAATTGAGAAATCCAAACTAATATTGAGAAATAATAAAATTAAATTAAGAAATGCAAATTCATATCGAGAAAAAACAAATTGAAATTCAGAATCCCAACATTATATTAAGAAATTACAAATTGAAATTGAGAAATTAATAAATGAAAATGAGAAATTTAAAATTTGTATGAAAATATTTTTCTTATAAAATGTTTAAATAGGATATGGATTTAAAATAATATAAATTTCAATACAAAATTAGGTTTTCCTAATATCATTTTGTATTTTGTCAATTTCAATTCGTATTATCTCAATATTAATTTCGACTTCTCAATATCAATTGGTTTTTTCTCAATATTAAGTTGAAAATTCAATTTTGTTTTTTCTTCATATCAATTTTGATTCCTAAATTTAATTTGGTATGTCTCAATATTAAATTGGATTTCTAAAATTCATTTTGGTGTTTCACAATATAACTTTGGATTTTCTCAAATTAAACTTGAAATGGTGTAGTCTGTAATCTAGCCTATAGTCTAGTCTAAAGTCTAGTCTATATATAGTCTAGTCTATAGTCTAGTCTATAGTCTAGTCTATAGTCTAGTCTATAGTCTAGTCTATAGTCTAGTCTATAGTCTAGTCTATAGTCTAGTCTATAGTCTAGTCTATAGTCTAGTCTATAGTCTAGTCTATAGTCTAGTCTATAGTCTAGTCTATAGTCTAGTCTATAGTCTAGTCTATAGTCTAGTCTATAGTCTAGTCTATAGTCTAGTCTATAGTCTAGTCTATAGTCTAGTCTATAGTCTAGTCTATAGTCTAGTCTATAGTCTAGTCTATAGTCTAGTCTATAGTCTAGTCTATAGTCTAGTCTATAGTCTAGTCTATAGTCTAGTCTATAGTCTAGTCTATAGTCTAGTCTATAGTCTAGTCTATAGTCTAGTCTATAGTCTAGTCTATAGTCTAGTCTATAGTCTAGTCTATAGATCTATAGTCTAGTCTATAGTCTAGTCTATAGTCTAGTCTATAGTCTAGTCTATAGTCTAGTCTATAGTCTAGTCTATAGTCTAGTCTATAATCAAGTATATAGTCTAGTCTATAGTCTAGTCTATAGTCTGGTCTATAGTCAAGTCTATAGTCTAGTCTATAGTCTAGTCTATAGTCTGGTCTATAGTTTAGTCTATACTCTAGTCTATAGTCTAGTCTATAGTCTAGTCTATAGTCTAGTCTATAGTCTAGTCTATAGTCTAGTCTATAGTCTAGTCTATAATCAAGTATATAGTCTAGTCTATAGTCTAGTCTATAGTCTAGTCTATAATCAAGTATATAGTCTAGTATATAGTCTAGTCTATAGTCTGGTCTATAGTCAAGTCTATAGTCTAGTCTATAGTCTAGTCTATAGTCTGGTCTATAGTCAAGTCTATAGTCTAGTCTATAGTCTAGTCTATAGTCTAGTCTATAGTCTAGTCTATAGTCTAGTCTATAGTCTAGTCTATAGTCTGGTCTATAGTTTAGTCTATACTCTAGTCTATAGTCTAGTCTAGTCTAGTCTATATTCTAGTCTATAGTCTAGTCTATAGTCTAGTCTATACTCTAGTCTATAGTCTAGTCTATAGTCTAGTCTATAGTCTGGTCTATAGTTTAGTCTATAGTCTAGTCTATAGTCTAGTCTACAGTCTAGTCTATAGCCTAGTCTATAGACTCCCTTTTTGTTACAATTTGCGCTTTTATGTTCAAATTAATAATTTGTTATCTCTCGTATTCAACACAACAATAGCGATATGGCAACACATTGTGGTGTATTAGCGAAACAGCTGTTTTTTGTTTACAATCATACCTGATGATAAGCGAGCACAGTTTTGCAGATTCATTTACAACAAATTACAAGAGAAATAATAAAAAAACGAGAAAACTGGTGGAAAAAATAAATTTAAATTGTAAAATTCCTCAAATAACTGATGTCAATAACGCTGGACGTAAATGCATTCCTCAATAAAGATGTCTGTACAACGGGGTGTGATGATATTATCATGGAAAAAGAAATGGAAACAAATATATTTGATGAAATTGAACATTTATTGAAATTTAATAAGGTGGGTTCAACTACAATAGAAATTAAAGTTGTTGTTTTATAATTTAATTGCTTTACAGAATTTGGAATTCGAAAATCAACATAAAAAGGAGGTGCAGGAAGAGGAGCCGCGCAAAAAGAAAGTAGAGGAACCAAAAAACAAAGATGCCATTAATTTGGATTTCCTTAATTCAACCTCTGATGATTTCTTATTGACCTCCGATAGTCAGAGTTTGTTGGGTGAGGATACTTTATTATTTACGGTGGAGCAGGATCGTTTGCAACCGGTTTCTTCTAGATTTATGGTGCCCGGCATTTACAAACGTATAGAGGGTGTGGCCTCTAGTGAAAACAAAACAGAGGTAAAGAAATCTAATGTCTTTATAAGTGAATTAGAAAAGCGCGGACGCATTATAACACAAAAAGATTTTGAACGTTTGTATATGCAAACGGAGGAAAATGAAAATCCACCTTTAAGAAGAGTTATATTACTGCAACCAATGGAAAGTGACGATGATGAGGAATTGGCCCCGAAATGCCCAGATGAAGTGGAGAATCATGTGGTACAGAAAGAAAATTCTATTAAGGACAAAATACCCAAAGAATGGGATGCATTAAATCGTTTGGCCTATGATATTTTAAAATTGACAAATCGTGATCATATCGTCATAGATCGCAAGAAAAACGAAATAGTTAGAACTCAATTTAATACTCACCAAAAGACCATCTATAGATTTTTATCACCAGAAATTTTGGGCTTAAAACCCCCAGCAGAAGGAGAAGCTAATGTCATTGACGTAGAAGAAGAAAATAAATTTCAAATGAATCAAAAATTGGTTAATAAACTAGGAAGACCGCGTAAAAGATTGCAGGAGGTTAAAGCGGTGAAAAAATCGAATAAAATAAGTAAAAAACAAGAAACAACAAATCCATCTTTGGCAGACAATAAACCAGTTACAAAAGTTAATACCCGCACCAGATCAGGACGTATAGTAAAGACTGTTAATAGCACACAAGATCAAACAAATCTAATACTACCACCTCCCTCGCCGCAAGAAGCCATAACAAATTTATTAAATGAACTAAAAGACTCTGACTATCAATGCAGTAAATTGAAAACTGCACCAGCCCCCAAAGATGAAACAGTCCCACCATTGGAATCCTCTACAGAAGTACAACAATCACCCAAAAGAAAAATACCACCAGAAGCCATTTGTCCTACTTGTAAGAAAATCTTTTTGGGCAAAAGATTACAAAGACATTTTGCCCAACATCCCGAACATATGCAAATAACCAACAATACCACAACTCCAGCACAAACCACTAATAATTCCGAATTTACTCAACCCGTAGAAGAAATGTCACTCTTTCGTTTCTTGATCTCAAAACTACAAAAATCCCAAACACTCAATGAAGACCAAAAGGCTGATCTTTTTCTCAATGAACTCAACGATCTGGTGGAACAATTGCAACTAAGAAGTTCTCGTTTAATACGCAATACATCAGGTTTACATTTTGTTAATCAGCGTTGCTCCAAGCTCTTGGGCATACCAGAAGGACAATATGCATTAGATCTAACTGCCATAGAAGCACCACTCGATCCAGAACTTACCAATCAGTATGATAACTCACACTCCCAGACGCATCATCTCTCACAACCCACTAACATAAGCACTCGCAGCCTGGACTACACTAATCTCTCCATAACACTCGATGATACTCTTACCGATGAGGCAGCTCAAAAATTAAATTTATCCGCTGGCGGCAAACTGCTGCCACCTTCAGAGGAGAGTCTCCTGAGGGCAGTAGACGATTTGGTACAGACTGATATAAATAAAATCCATGCGTCTTCCATGCTACAACAGCAACCTATAGCCAGTACCAGCTGCCTGTCAGCATCATCAAATACCACTTCAGTGGTAGCCAAACTCTTGCCTCCCCACATCGATCATGCCAGTGATAATGCTGTCGAGGCGGTGCATATGAAAGAGACCACAACAACGGTTAATGCCTCGGATACGCCTTTACTGGATTTATCGGTGGACTTTTTTCAATTTAATAATTAAATTGTGGAGACCATGATGCTGAATTTTAACAAACATTTAAAAAACTAACATTTTTGTACAGTTTATAAATTAAGTATTACGTAGAAAGTTTAATAAATGCCGAAAGTAAAATGCTTTTATTAACAAATCAAGCTGAATTAAAGAGGGTTTAATATGCTGAATTTATGAATACTTATGTAACAATAGAAGGATTAGTAAATTAACTTCTCTTTCAAATATAAGCTGTAAAAAAATCTGTCAGAAATTTTGAATGTTACTTTTGTACTCAAATCGAAAATGAAATTTTAATTTATTGTAGCATAAATATGTTCAAATTAAATCGGTTTAACAAAAAGCCTGTTAAATAGTTTAAAAATCGTACGAAAATTTTGCATCAAGCTTTTGAATTGTTTTTATATAGTACTTCTTAAAATGTTCCTAAATTTTGCAAACATTATTTTATTATTATTAAATAGATATTTTTTATATTTTATGTCTGCAACAATAACAAATCATCCATCCCTAGAGAAATTATACATCACCACACCAGAAAACATTTCACGCAATAAAATGATTTCTTGATAAATTACATAGTGACAGACGATGGATCACATTCCGTCAAAACGTACGCCAAAGGTCAAAAATGTCTCAGGCATTAAGACATCGCTCTCTATTCATCAAAAAGATAAGGGAAAATTGTATTGTTAATGAATTAAGTACTTAACACTACGTCTGTTATTAGTTAAATATGATAGCAAGGTAGATAGATAGATAGATAGATAGATAGATAGATAGATAGATAGATAGATAGATAGATAGATAGATAGATAGATAGATAGATAGATAGATAGATAGATAGATAGATAGATAGATAGATAGATAGATAGATAGATAGATAGATAGATAGATAGATAGATGATAGATAGATAGATAGATAGATAGATAGATAGATAGATAGATAGATAGATAGATAGATAGATAGATAGATAGATAGATAGATAGATAGATAGATAGATAGATAGATAGAAACACTCTTCCCACTTGACAAAGACAAGAAGAGTAGAGAAGAAGCATTACAACAACCAAATGGTTTCTACCCTCTAAGTGAAGAGAAACTAAAAATAGCAGCAAAAAAGCTAAAAGTTGGGAAATGTCCCGGTCCAGATGGCATTCCAAATATAGTTTTAAAATTAGTAAGCGAAACCTGGCCTGATTTGTTACTACGCACGTTTAACTTATGCCTAGCAACAGGAAAATTCCCCGCGAAGTGGAAAATACAGAAACTTGTTCTCCTGCGAAAAGGAGACAAAGCATTAAACGAACCAAGCTCATACAGACCTTTATGCATGCTTGATTCACTAGGAAAACTATTTGAGAGCTTAATACTCAAAAACTTACAAAACGTATAGATGAACTTGGCGGCCTATCACGTAATCAGTATGGCTTCAGAAAGGGAAGATGTACTGTTGATGCCATTAATGACGTTGTAAAAACAGCGATGGAATCTAAATTCGCAAAAGGTTTCTGTGCTATAATAACCTTAGATGTTAAAAATGCCTTTAACACGGCCAAATGGAGAGTGATATTAGAAGCTCTCAAACACAAAGGGGTACATGATTATATGCACACAATAATAGCGGACTACTTGGATAACAGAATCCTACTGTATGATACAGATGATGGACAAAAAACCTACCAAATAACAGCCGGTGTTCCACAGGGGTCAGTACTGGGCCCTTTCTTGTGGAATGCCATGTATGACGGCCTGTTAAATATGAAATTACAAAATGGCGCCAAACTTATAGGATATGCAGATGATATTGCGTTGGTCGTATCACAGCCTACAGCTGAACTCATAGAAATAGTCACGAATGATAGTCTAAACCGGTGTAATACGTGGTTGACAAAAGCCGGACTACAGTTAGCAGCAACAAAGACAGAAGCTATACTTGTTACAGTAAGGAGGAGTTTCGTTACCCCGAGGATCAGGCTGCAAGAAAATAATATAGTTTTTAAACGTAACCTATGTTACCTTGGTATACAGTTAGATGACAAGTTATCCTTTAAACAACACATCACTAATGTTAGAAACAAAACTATAAAAACCGCAGCTTCACTGGCCAGAATAATGCCAAACCGTGGTGGCCCAAAGCCATACACAAGAAAACTAATAAATAGTGTCGTCCATTCACAAATTCTGTATGCAGCCCCAACATTTGCAACAGTGATGGACAAAAACTGTAGAGTAAGAGAGCTACAAAAACCACAAAGAATCAGCGCGCTAAGAATTATTTCGGCATATCGCACAGTACCAACATCAGCAGCTCTGGTGATTGCTGGGCTCTTACCTATCGACCATCAAATAATAGAAAAAGATGAAATATACAAGGAGTTAAACATAATTCAATCCAGCGACATGAACCAAGCAGAAAAACGAAAACGAGAAGTGGAGATAAAAAATAACGCTAGAACACGAATGCTGAATATGTGGCAGCAAAGATGGTCACATGAGACAACGGGAAGATATACCTATAATCTGATACCAAACATCAAAGAATGGATCGAAAGATCTCATGGAAATGTTAGTTATTACATGACCCAATTCTTGACAAACCATGGAGCCTTCAACCAGTATTTATACAGGTTTAATTTGAGAAGCAGTGCCAGTTGTGAGGCATGTGGAGCATATGAAGAAACGTCAAAACATGTACTATTTGAATGCCCAAAGTGGATAAATGAAAGAAGGGCATTAAGCTCTAAGTTATGTGAGATGATTTCAGCAGATAATATAATAAGAATTATGCTGAAATCGAAGCAAGAGTGGAATCATTGTGAAAACTATATTAATGCAGTTATCAAGAAAAGATGCTTGAGAGTTCCGAACCTCCCACGATAGGAGGATGTAGGAATGAAAAAGAAAAAAACTAAAGAAGAAAATAAACTTAAACCACCCACCCTGATGAAATGATGACGCGGTGCCGGGGTGGATTGGAGATGTCGTGGGGCCACTAGATGATAGGTTACTATCACTACGTCCAAAAAAAAAAAAAAAAAAAAAAAAAGATAGATAGATAGATAGGTAGATAGATAGATAGATATATAGATAGATAGATAGATAGATAGATAGATAGATAGATAGATAGATAGATAGATAGATAGATAGATAGATAGATAGATAGATAGATAGATAGATAGATAGATAGATAGATAGATAGATAGATAGATAGATAGACAGATAGATAGATAGATAGATAGATAGATAGATAGATAGATAGATAGATAGATAGATAGATAGATAGATAGATAGATAGATAACACATTTCCATTGCTATACTGTTATGACGCAAGACATGGGCGTTAAAGTAATTTGTTGAAAAGGACCCTACCCGCTGACAATTACAGACCGATCATTTCATTGTAGCTATAAAACCTGATTATGTCGAATATCGTTGCATTGCTGTCATTTTGAATCAAGTTATTAGCATTTTATGAGGGGCCTATGTCAATAAGGGATCGATTGTTTGCCCGAATGGAGGCTTGGTTTAGAAGCTAGCGCGCTATACAATTTTTCATATAAAGGTCAATTCTTTTTTTTAATTTTAAAAGATTTTAAATTATTTCATGATTAAAAGAAGCTTCCAAACGATACAGAGGCGAACAATATATAGGTTTCTTGCAATAAATTTGATTTACAGAAATTTGATTATTTTCCCAATAATAATTAGGAAACTTGAGTGGATTTAAAAATTTTCAAATAAGACAATATGTTTCCGTACTGGTCAGGTGTACAGATTTTTGCAGTAATTCGTTCCACACTATGTTTATTGATTTGGTTATTGATTGTATATCTTTTTGTTTATTTACGCACATACAAAAGGTTCAGCATAAATATTATGGACTGCTTTAATTGACAAAAGTGCATAATGCTTCATATTCATACTATTTATAACAAATTTCATTCCATTTATGTATTATTTTTTGAGCAGATTGTTTTAGATTGTTTAAAAATTTAAAAAAATTACAAATTTTCCTTACATTTTGAATATATTTTTCTTAATAAAGAATAATTATTTGTTTCATAAAATAATTTAATCTTCTCATATTGTCTGACTGATAGATAAATTTCCATATTTATTTCATTTAACCTCATCTGTTATAAAGTTTATCAGTAGACAACATGATAGACAGACGTCGTACTTCGTATTACCCAGAATCATAAACTATATAATAAAATCTCTCCTGGGCATTTCGTGTGTTATCAAAGGAATATAATTGATAAAATTATTTTATAACCTATAACTTTTTTTAGTTCAGGGTTAAATTAATTGACACTCTAAAAATAATAAACAAACTTGTTTGGCTTAAGTGCCTACGATTATTTAAACATTTCTATAGTAAAACCCCTTTCCAGCACATTAATGAGCCTGCACGTGATTGAAACCATAAAAACCATCCATAAAAATATAATAATAATAGCAATCATCATACTATCATCACCAACAACAACAAAAAACAAAACAAAAAGGTGCCGAAAGTACTATATATTGTAGAATAAACAAAGTTTATGTACGCACACACAGCCAATTTATAATAATATAATAAACTCTGGACAGGAATAGACGAAGTTAGACGTTTTGTATAAATGCTTAGTGTTACGAACACTTAAGTGAAAGTGTAAACATTGTTTACAAAAGTCATTTGGATTAATGTTTTTAACAAAAAAGGACAACCTGTAGGACTTTTAATTTACACATACACGCAGCAAGGCAATTTTATTTACTTGCAGGATACAAATATTTTAAAGACACGAAGACATACTCATCATACTCATAAATCATGTTATATGTAGATGAATTACCTTTCATATGCTAATCCATGAAAGTGTGGTTATTAAAAAAAAGACCAACCCAGTTTAATTACAACAAATATGAGATAAGAACGAGCGAGTTTCGGGGCGGTAGTAGCAGAATATGAGGATTACTACACGCTTTATTAACGGAATCTTTGATTTCAAGGAGTTTATGAAACATTTGTCTTGTTATTTCGAGCAGTTAGAATTCTAGTCTGTCAGACCGGAAGACGTGGGTTCGACTCAGACCAGAGGCTGTACGAAAGAGCAGACAACACTAACTAACTAACTAACTAACTAACTAACTAACTAACTAACTAACTAACTAACTAACTAACTAACTAACTAACTAACTAACTAACTACTAACTAACTAACTAACTAACTAACTAACTACTAACTAACTAACTAACTAACTAACTAACTAACTAACTAACTAACTAACTAACTAACTAACTAACTAACTAACTAACTAACTAACTAACTAACTAACTAACTAACTACTAACTAACTAACTAACTAACTAACTAACTAACTAACTAACTAACTAACTAACTAACTAACTAACTACTAACTAACTAACTAACTAACTACTAACTACTAACTAACTAACTAACTAACTAACTAACTAACTAACTAACTAACTAACTAACTAACTAACTAACTAACTAACTAACTAACTAACTAACTAACTAACTAACTAACTACTACTAACTACTACTAACTAACTAACTAACTAACTAACTAACTAACTAACTAACTAACTAACTAACTAACTAACTACTAACTAACTAACTAACTAACTAACTACTAACTAACTAACTAACTAACTAACTAACTAACTAACTAACTAACTAACTAACTAACTAACTAACTAACTAACTAACTAACTACTAACTAACTAACTAACTAACTAACTAACTAACTAACTAACTAACTAACTAACTAACTAACTAACTAACTAACTAACTAACTAACTACTAACTAACTAACTAACTAACTAACTAACTAACTAACTAACTAACTAACTAACTAACTAACTAACTAACTAACTAACTAACTAACTAACTAACTAACTAACTAACTAACTACTAACTAACTAACTAACTAACTAACTAACTAACTAACTAACTAACTAACTAACTAACTAACTAACTAACTAACTAACTAACTAACTAACTAACTAACTAACTAACTAACTAACTAACTAACTAACTAACTAACTAACTAACTAACTAACTAACTAACTAACTAACTAACTAACTAACTAACTAACTAACTAACTACTACTAACTAACTAACTAACTAACTAACTAACTAACTAACTAACTAACTAACTAACTAACTAACTAACTAACTAACTAACTAACTAACTAACTAACTAACTAACTAACTAACTAACTAACTAACTAACTACTAACTAACTAACTAACTAACTAACTAACTAACTAACTAACTAACTAACTACTAACTAACTAACTAACTAACTAACTAACTAACTACTAACTAACTAACTAACTAACTAACTAACTAACTAACTAACTACTAACTAACTAACTAACTAACTAACTAACTAACTAACTAACTAACTAACTACTACTAACTAACTAACTAACTAACTAACTAACTAACTAACTACTACTAACTACTAACTAACTACTACTAACTAACTAACTAACTAACTAACTAACTAACTAACTAACTAACTAACTAACTAACTAACTAACTAACTCTAACTAAACTAACTAACTAACTAACTAACTAACTAACTAACTACTAACTAACTAACTAACTAACTAACTACTAACTAACTAACTAACTAACTAACTAACTAACTAACTAACTAACTAACTAACTAACTACTAACTAACTAAAACTAACTAACTAACTAACTAACTAACTAACTAACTAACTAACTAACTAACTAATAACTAACTACTAACTAACTAACTAACTAACTAACTAACTAACTAACTAACTAACTAACTAACTAACTAACTAACTACTAACTAACTAACTACTACTAACTAACTAACTAACTAACTAACTAACTAACTAACTAACTACTAACTAACTAACTAACGAACTAACTAACTAACTAACTAACTAACTAACCTAACTAACTAACTAACTAACTAACTAACTAACTAACTAACTAACTAACTACTAACTAACTAACTAACTACTACTAACTAACTAACTACACTAACTAACTAACTAACTAACTAACTAACTAACTAACTAACTAACTAAACTAACTAACTAACTAACTAACTAACTAACTAACTAACTAACGACTAACACTAACTAACTAAAAAACTAACTAACTAACTAACTAACTAACTAACTAACTAACTAACTAACTAACTAACTAACTAACTAACTAACTAACTACTAACTAACTAACTAACTAACTAACTAACTAACTAACTAACTAACTAACTAACTAACTAACTACTAACTAACTAACTACTAACTAACTAACTAACTAACTAACTAACTAACTAACTAACTAACTAACTAATAACTAACTAACTAACCAACTAACTAACTAACTAACTAACTAACTAACTAACTAACTAACTAACTAACTAACTAACTAACTAACTAACTAACTAACTAACTAACTAACTAACTAACTAACTAACTAACTAACTAACTAACTAACTAACTAACTAACTAACTAACTAACTAACTAACTAACTAACTAACTAACTAACTAACTAACTAACTAACTAAACTAACTAACTAACTAACTAACTAACTAACTACTAACTAACTAACTAACTAACTAACTAACTAACTAACTAACTAACTAACTACTAACTACTGACTAAAAAACTAACTAACTAAAAAACTAACTAACTAAATAAAAAACTAACTAACTACTAACTAACTAACTAATTAACTAACTAACTAACTAACTAACTAACTAACTAACTAACTAACTAACTAACTAACTAACTAACTACTAACTAACTAACTAACTAACTAACTAACTAACTAACTAACTAACTAACTAACTAACTAACTAAACTAACTACTACTAACTAACCTAACTACACTACTAACTAACTAACTAACTAACTAAAAAACTAACTAACTACTAACTACTAACTAACTAACTAACTAACTAACTAACTAACTAACTACTAACTAACTAACTAACTAACTAACTAACTAACTAACTAACTAACTAACTAACTACTAACTAACTAACTAACTAACTAACTACTAACTAAAACTAACTAAGTAAAAATAACTAACTAACTAACTAACTACTAACTAACTAACTACTAACTAACTAACTAACTAACTAACTACTAACTAACTACTACCTAACAACTAACTAACTAACTAACTAACTAACTAACTAACTAACTAACTAACTAACTAACTAACTAACTAACTACTAACTACTAACTAACTAACTAACTAACTACTAACTAACCAACTAACTACTAACTACCAACTAACTAACTAACTAACTACTAACTAAACTAACTAACTACTAACTAACCTAACTAACTAACTAACTAACTAACTAACTAACTAACTAACTAACTAACTACTAACTACTAACCTAACTAACTACTAACTAACTAACTAACTAACTACTAACTAACTAACTAACTAACTAACTAACTAACTAACTAACTAACTACTAACTAACTAACTAACTACTAACTAACTAACTAACTAACTAACTAAACTAACTAACTAAGAAACTAACTAACTAAATAACTAACTAACTAACAAACTAACTAACAAACTAACTAACTAACCTAACTAACTAACTAACTAACTAACTACTAACTAACTAACTAACTAACTACTAACTAACTAACTAACTACTAACTAACTAACTAAACTAACTAACTAACTAACTAACTAACTAACTAACTAACTAACTACTAACTAACTAACTAACTAACTAACTAACTAACTAACTAACTAACTAACTAACTACTAACTACTAACTAACTAACTAACACTAACTAACAACTAACTAACGAGAAACTGTAACATCTTACAAATTTTATTAGATATCTAAACTCGGATTTCACTCGGAACGCCCCCAGATTAGATCGTCCGGACTCATGATTTGTTTTACAGTATAAAGACACGTAGAGGAGAAAACCATTGAGGCGCTCCGTAAATAGATATCAGTTTTTTTATCCGACCCTAGTTTTGCTGAAATTCTAATACATATTATGTATAAGGTGAGTATGCCGAAGGTGAAGGCGAAAATTTGTCTTCGAGCGCCCCATATCAGTATCTAGCAAATTTCTAACTGAAAAGTGGATGGTGATGAAAAATACACAAAGGAGTCAGCGATCTTTGCGGCAAACTATTAATGTAGACTGAGATCATGTCATCCTAAAGGGCATGATATAATTTTTACATCTCGAGATGTTGACGGAATCTCTGCCGAGATCTTGAAGATCGACTAACATACAAGTAATGATATAATATGGCCAATTATTTGAACAATTTGGGAGTTCGAAAATTTGGATAGTGTACTGAAAAATTGTGACCATAACATGGCATGGCCGATATGACATATATGCTATCTAACTCGCATTTCCATTTTGGCATTATCTAACTGTCTCAAACATAATCCTCCAACCAACATTACCCACCTTACACACTGTAGCCTATAGATTCTAATAATGATAACCAATGTTTTCACCTACATTTATGATTACACCGCCGTCTAGAGAGTTCAAAAGAAAAAAAAAACATTATATATAATTTGCCTTTATTTACCAATACAATAATAAACAAATTACCGGAAATTAAACATGCAATAAATTGAAATTGAGAACTAAACGACTGGCACACGACTCGACTCGATTCATACCTACGACCGAGGCATAAATTTGACAACACTTTCAAACAGTTGCACAGTTTTTATTTTAACGTTAAACATGAATGTCCTAAATCGTGTACAACCGGAAGCGGGTCTCAGAAGGAATATTGACAATTCTTTACATTTAAATGTCCTAAGGCGACCAACAAATGAGATACCACGTCGTAATAATTTCGAAAAACCCGAATTGAAAAAACAAGAAAGTATTGTGGATTTTAAAAAAGTTATTGCCGAAAATACCGATGAATTTTGTCAACATTCAACGTTGCACGGTCTAAAATATATTGTCGATGAACAATTGTATCCGGGCGAAAGGATATTCTTTGCCATGTCTTTTGTGGCGGTGGTTTTAATGTCGATATTTTTTATCTCAAATGTTTATGCTAAATGGCGTTCGACACCGGTTATTTTGGGCATTAATCCGGAACCAAGTTTTATTGTTAACGAACCCTTTCCGGCGGTTACTTTGTGTAATCTAAATCAAGCTTCGAAAGCTAGAGCCCAAGTTTACAAGGAGTAAGTGTGAGAGTGAGATTTGAAAAAGTTTTGAAAAACAAATTTAAAAAATCTGCTTTAAATTTATAGAGATTCAAGTGAATACACCATGTTACAGTTATTGTGCAAACGGGAAGTGAATTTATCGATGGCCGATTCGATTAATTGGAATAATTTTGAAGATTTTATTGTAAATGTAAGTTGAAATTGTATACAACTTCATATAACTTTTCAAGGATTTTATAAAGGATCTAGGATAAGGAAAAACTCACTGCGAATATGCTGATTAGAAAAGAAGTATCGAAATTATAAATATCTGTCGAAATTATATATTCTTCATTACTAATTGTAAAGGCTTTTGAAGAAAGTATCTGAATTAGGGTTCCATAAATCGACTTTCGAAAAATCGAACAATCGACTTTTTGTCGAAAAAAGTCGAAGTCAACTATTGTGTTGCAAAAAAGTCGAAAAGTAGGAAAGTTGAAAAAAGTCGTAAAAATTCAAAGAAAGTCGAAAAGTTGGAAAAAGTCGAAAAAAGTCGTACAAAGTCGGAAAAAGTCGAAAAAAGTCGGAATAAATCGGAAAAAGTCGAAAACTCGAAAATAGTAGAAAAAAGTCAAAAATAGTCGAAAATTTGAAAAAGTCGAAAAAAGAAAATCAAAAACTCTAATATAGTCGAAAAAACTCGAAAAAAGTCGGAAAAAGTCGAAAACTCGAAAACAGTAGAAAGAAGTCAAAAATAGTCGAAAATTTGAAAAAGTCGAAAAAAGAAAATCAAAAACTCTAATATAGTCGAAAAAACTCGAAAAGTCGAAAAAAAAGAAAATTCGAAAAATCGAAGATAGTCGGAAAAAGTCGAAAACTCGAAAATAGTAAAAAAAGTAAAAAATTGTCGAAAATTTGAAAAAAGTCGAAAAAAAAATCAAAAAGTCGAAAAAAGTCGAAAATCGACTATTTATAAAATACTAAAAGTCGACTTTTAATTTAATGAAAAAAGTCGAAAAATCTACTTTTTATAAAATTCAAAAAGTCGACTTTTCATTTCAACTATAGAACCCTAATCTGAATATGTTACTTTTAATAGAGCACAGGGCAATTTCTACTAAAACCGCATCACACATATTTTGGTCCGCATCACATATATTTTGGTCCAAGGATAAATCCAGTTGAAAGTGGTTAAAATCGATGAACGGGACTAGTATTTCTATGAATCTTTGTAGAACATTTTTTATATAAGCATAAATCTTTTATCAAAATAAGGATCGGCCTATATTCGATCCTTGTCCCAATATAAAGAATTTTCTGACAAAAAGGAATGTTGAATATGTCGTAAATTCTATTTAATTACAAAAAGCGGTCCTATATAAGTACTTAGATCTTAATTCAGATATGGACCTGGCTCTGCAGAATTTAAAATGGGGAATAGTTTATTTCATAATATTTGGACAATTTGAAAAAACGATTTTCTGAAAGATAGGTTATGGGTCAATATGTTCGGAAAATTTTGATTTAGTTATATAAAACTTGTTTCTAGTTATTAGCCATAAAGTCATTTTCAGAAATGCAAGTTATATGCAAGTGATTTTCTGAAGGGGTCGTTATATGGAGGTAACTATCAATTATGGACCGATCCTTATAAAATTTTGGTAGAGAGGCTTTTTTTGTTGCTGCTATACTGGTATTATTAAAACAGTTTTAAGCATTAAATGATTTTCTGAAGGGAACATTATATGGGGTATAGGATCTCTTATGAACTGATCCTTATAAAATTTGATAAATAGATTTCTGTACATAGTTTGAAGGGCCACTTGGATGGGGGCTAGGGAAAATCAATATTTTTTAGTTCTAATACCAAACAAACCTTATCAATAGAGAATATTTATGCAAAATTTCAACTGCCAGGCGGGCGGGTAAACATGCCTAAATCGTCTTAAAATCTAAGAAGGACCTAGAATATATATATATTTTTCTGGGTCTATGATAAATATTTCGATGAATTACCTACCATCTGTTCATGATTAAAAAAATAAGCGCAAATGTGTCAGGTACTTCTTCGAAATTAGGCTCTTTTTAGGAGTCAACGGGTAAAACTGCATTTTGGTATTTTATTGGACCTTATAAATCTCTAAACGTAGATGTGTTTTATCGCTGGGGGGAGAAAAAGTACCAAACAGGTCGTAAACAGGGGAATTTTTAATTTATTCAAACTCATTAAAGCATTTTGATTAAATGTTAAAAATTGGTAGATTTAGTTACACTAAATAATGTACTTTACGGAACCCGATTTCAAAGTCTTACTTAGGACCACATTTGACTGAATTATTTGGTACTTTTTTAAAACGTACTTTATGTACAAATCAATAGTACTTTGAACAAAAACAGAAGTTACAAGAATTTGAACATACTTGGTTCCGATTGATTTAGGACATATATCAGGAAACTTTTTGATACTTTTTTGTTCTTAACCAGGAACTTTTTAAAATTTTCTGTAATATTTAACGATACGCCATTGAAAGCGCCTATTAATGATCTTTCACATGATATTTTAGAATGAACCAGGCTTTCAGACATCAGTACCCAATATATTTTGCATACAAACGGGACCACCCTAATGTATAAGGAGATTTTACATTTTTAATTTGTGTAAATACTTATGACGAGGACTGTATTTTCTGAATTAATCGTATTCTCTTGTATGTATTCCTAGATCTCCCAACCCTGTGAAGAAATGATAGTTGGTTGCAACTATGGAGCTGTGGACTATAAATGTAGCGACATCTTTCGCACTATAGTGACGGATGAGGGTCTTTGTTGTGTATTTAATATGTTAAGTCCGAATTTTATGTATAATGTAGAGTGAGTATTAAAATCTCTAAAAAGTTTTAATAAATGTTTAATCGAAGCCTCTAAATTAAATACTTTCCCAGAGTTTCCAAATTGCGCAATCAAACCTATAATGATGAGGCTGCTCCTGTTAACTGGGATCCCGAAAGGGGTTATCCCGATGAGTTACCCGAAGTTTTCTATCCAAGAACTTCTGTGGGTACAGGAATTACATTGGGATTGAGTTTAACATTTGATATAGATTTATCCGATTACTATTGTTCCTCAACGGCTAGTGTAGGTCTAAAAATGGCTTTACATAGTCCGGCGGAAATTCCACATGTAAGAGAAATTGGCACTTTATTGCCGGCGGGAAGTGAGACCAAGATAAGAATACGTACAGATAAAACTGAAGCAGCTTTAAATTTAAAATCTATAGATAAACAATATCGTAAATGTTTATTTGATGGTGAAGAAAAATTGGAATATTTTTCTTATTATAATCGGCGGAACTGTGAGAGAGAATGTCAGGCCCGCCAATTATTGGATTCGTGTAAATGTTTGAATTACTATATGCCCATGTTGGAGAAAGATGCCAGAATATGTGGCCTTAAAGATACTCCCTGTGTGGAAATGGTTCTACAAAATAAACGCAATAGATCTCATACCGCCATGGAAGATTGTCAACATAAATGTTGGCCCAGTTGTTTTGATTTGAATTTTTATACCGATTTCTTTTCGGCACCCATTTCACATGAGGGCTTTGCCATTGCCAATAAGTTTGTAAAGAACACCACCAGTGAATATGCCGAAAAGAATATGGCCGTGGTTCACTTTTATTTCACCGATAATACTTTTCGCAGCACTAAACAAACCGAATTTATTGGCATGACAGATTTTTTGTGTAAGTTGAAGGAATATAGTGCTTTTAATACTATTTCTTATAAATACTTTAATTACAATTCTAGCCAGTGTTGGTGGTTTGATGGGTCTCTTTATGGGCTTTAGTTTCATCTCAATAGCCGAGTTCATTTACTATGCCGTTTTGCGTCCCTATCATGTGGTAAAGCGTCATGATCGTATTAAGGGTGGCAGTCGTGTAGATGTTTCATTTTCTGATTCACGAAATCCGTCTCTACGTTATATTGATGCTCCTTCGTATTACGTGACAACGGATCCATTGATTAAACCTTCGAAATTACAACAGTTTCCACAGAGACAAATTGAACGTCGTAATAGTGAACATTTTGGTCATATTGTTCAGAAGGCCAATAGAAGACAGAATAACTAGTATTCGTAGATGCCAATATGTTAAAAATAAATTATTTGTTCAGTATTCGGCAGGACCGAATCGAATATATTCTACACCTATTACCGGAACAGATTTATAATTATTTTGGAATTGTAATAAAAGTATAAATAAGAAAGTATAGTCCGAAATCCAGAGATTCTGAGTCGATTGGTAAACGCTTTATGGTGTATAGAGGAACTATATTTGAAGGCTTTAGTTGGGTTACACACTTCTTCTTATTAATAAATATTATTCCAAACGTTAAAGGTGAAGAAAATAGAATTAAATTTAAAAACATTCCTATTTCGGAAGTACCCCTAAAAATATTTAATGTCCATAAAATTTACTGTTTCAGCAATAAATGAAAAAAATATAACTAACTGAAACGTTTGTTTTATTAAAATTTGAATTTTTGCACCAAATCTTTTAAATTAAATTAAAATCAGCTTTTGGAGAACGCAAATATCTTCGGAATCCAAATCTAAGGTCCACAAACCAAAAAGAAAATAAAAACATATAAACTAGACTAGTCTTTAGATTAGACGATAGACTAGCTACAGACTAGAATATAGAATATATATTAGACTATAGACTAGACTATGGACTAGAATAATAGACTAGAACTATAGACTAGACTATAGAATAGACTAGACTATAGAATAGACTAGACTATAGAATAGACTAGACTATAGAATAGACTATAGACTAGACTATAGACTAGACTATAGACTAGACTATAGACTAGACTAAGAGACTAGACTATAGACTAGACTATAGACTAGACTATAGACCTAGACTATAGACTAGACTATAGACTAGACTATAGACTAGACTATAGACTAGACTATAGACTAGACTATAGACTAGACTATAGACTAGACTATAGACTAGACTATAGACTAGACTATAGACTAGACTATAGACTAGACTATAGACTAGACTATCGACTAGACTATAGACTAGACTATAGACTAGACTATAGACTAGACTATAGACTAGACTATATAGACTAGACTATAGAGTAGACTATAGACTAGACTATAGACTAGACTATAGACTAGACTATAGAGTAGACTATAGACTAGACTATAGACTAGACTATAGACTAGACTATAGACTAGACTATAGACTAGACTATAGACTAGACTATAGACTAGACTATAGACTAGACTATAGACTAGACTATAGACTAGACTATAGACTAGACTATAGACTAGACTATAGACTAGACTATAGACTAGACTATAGACTAGACTATAGACTAGACTATAGACTAGACTATAGACTAGACTATAGACTAGACTATAGACTAGACTATAGACTAGACTATAGACTATAGACTACTATAGACTTAGACTATAGCCTAGACTATAGACTAGACTATAGACTAGACTATAGACTAGACTATAGACTAGACTATAGAACTAGACTATAGACTAGACTATAGACTAGACTATAGACTAGACCTATAGACTAGACTATAGGACTAGACTATAGACTAGACTATAGACCTAGACTATAGACTAAACTATAGACTAGACTTATATACTATACTATAGACTAACTATAGACTAAGACTATAGACTATACTATAGCTAGACTAATAGACTAACTATAGAAGACTATAACCTGAACTATAGACTAGACTTATAGACGGACTATAGACTATCTAAGACTAGACTAATATACTTAGACTATATACTAGACTATAGACTAGACATAGACTATACATAGACTAGACTATAGACTAGACTAAGACTAGAAGACTATAGACTAGAACTATAGACTATAACTATAGACTAGACTATATCAGACTATACATAGACTAAACTAATAGACTAGACTATAGACCTAACTATAGACTAGACTATAGACTAGACTATAGACTAGACTAAGACTAGACTATAGACTAGACTATAGACTAGACTATAGACTAGACTATAGACTAGACTATAGACTAGACTATAGACTAGACTATAGACTAGACTATAGACTAGACTATAGACTAGACTAGACTAGACTATAGACTAGACTATAGACTAGACTATAGACTAGACTATAGACTAGACTATAGACTAGACTATAGACTAGACTATAGACTAGACTATAGACTAGACTATCGACTAGACTATAGACTAGCTATAGACTAGACTATAGACTAGACTATATACTAGACTATAGACTAGACTATAGACTAGACTATAGACTAGACTATAGACTAGACTATAGACTAGACTATAGACTAGACTATAGACTAGACTATAGACTAGACTATAGACTAGATAGACTAGACTATAGACTAGACTATAGACTAGACTAAGACTAGACTATAGACTAGACTATAGACTAGACATAGACTAGACTATAGACTAGACTATAGACTAGACTATTAGACTAGACTATAGACTAGACTATAAGACTAGACTACGATAGACTAGACTATAGACTAGACTATAGACTAGACTATAGACTATAGACTAGACTATAGACTAGATTTTTGACTAGACTATACTCTAGATTTTAGACTAGACTAGACTATAGACCAGATTTTAAACTAGACTATAGACTATATTTTTGACTAGACTATACTCTAGATTTTAGACTAGACTAGACTAGACTATAGACTAGACTATAGACTAGACTATAGACTAGACTATAGACTAGACTATAGACTAGACTATAGACTAGACTCCAGACTAGACTCCAGACTAGACTATAGACTAGACCATAGACTAGACTATAGACTAGACTACAGACTAGACTATAGACCAGATTTTTGAATAGACTATAGACTAGATTTTAGACTAGACTATAGTCTAGATTTTAGACTAGACTATAGCCTACGTATCAAAAGTTTATAAATTAGAAGAATTACTGAAAATGTCGTGGGTTTACCGCAGTATTTGTCGATATCAAAAAGTACTGAAAAAATTATTATACTAATGAATTTCCCATACCTGACAATTATACAAATTATTCGCTTAAATGAAAACATCGCTATTGTAAGCCGCAGTCTTGAAGAAGATCCAAATTTGTCACGTTTGAGCTATCCACAAAAGCCGCGTAACGAATTCTGCTAAAGACCGCTTCATAAGATTTAACTCAGCCGAATATAACACTTTTTCAGGTTTTTTATTGATATTTAATTCTTTATGCGAACGGTTTTCTAATACGACTGTAAGACCCTAACAACTGTGTAACACTACATCTAACGAGTAGCAAATTATGATCTAAGTTCAATCAATAATAACTTTATTAATAAATTTGTTTTTATTTTTATAATAATAACAATATGTACACAAGCAACTTTCTCACTTGATTAATATTATTATAATTTATATTAAATGGTTTGTTCATATCGTATCGGCAGCAACAAAAGACATATTGGATACATTGTGGCAAAGAAAAACAATAAAAGTTGCAATTACATTAATTGAATATTTGAACATAGAATATAACTACTCCGATATAAAAACCCAAAAACTTTTATTATTTGAACCACAGTTCAGTTAAAATTTATTGCATTGCTAAAAAGGACTTCGAAACGTTAGGTTAAAATGAAATGTTGCAGTAATTTTAAAAATTGGAAAAATAAATATAAAGGTTTAAATCTTAAGCAGATTCTGGTGCAAAATACCGATGAATTTTGTCGTAATACCACTCTGCATGGCATGAAATATGTGGCCGATAGTGAATTGAAAACAAGTGAAAGATGCTTTTTTGCTATTTCCATTATAACGGTAGTTTGTTTAGCTATTTACTTAATAGCTCGCGTTTACGATAAATGGTCTACTACTCCGGTTATTGTGGGCATTAATCCTGAACCGACTTTTATAACGGATGAACCATTTCCAGCGGTCTCCATTTGTAATTTTAATCAAGCTTTGGCGGGTAAGGTGGAACACTTTTCGAGGTATGTTATGGCTTCAATTTGGGTGGATATAGTTCTTATTTTTATAATGATTCATTTTAAGGTTATCCCCCGAGTATGCCATGTTGCAATTACTGTGTAAAAGAGAAGTCAACAACTCGATGTTACGAACACTTATGAATTGGAATAATTTGGAAAATTTTATCGTGAATGTAAGCCAGATATATTGTTTAGACAACTGTCTAGTCCATAGAATAGACTTGACCACTGTTTAGTCCATAGAATACTCTTGACCACTGTATAGTCCATAGAATAGACTTCACCACTGTCTAGTCCATAGAATAGACTTGATCACTGTCTTGTCCATAGAATTGACTTGACCACTGTCTAATCTATAGAATAGACTAGATCAATGTCTAGTTTATAGAATGGACTAGATCACTGTCTAGTCTATAGAATAGACTAGATCACTGTATAGTCTATAGAATATAGAATAGACTAGATGACTGTCTAGTTTATAGATTAGATCACTGTCTAGTCTATAGAATAGACTAGATCACTGTCTGGTCTATAGAATAGACTAGATCACTGTCTAGTCTATAGAATGGAATAGATCACTGTCTAGTCTATAGAATACACTAGATCACTGTCGAGTCCATAGAATGGACTAGATCACTGTCTAGTCTATATAATAGATTAGATCACTGTCTAGTCTAAGAACTTAACATTTGTCTAGTATATAGAATATACTAGATAACTGTCTAGTCTAAGGACTAGACCTCTGTCTAGTCTATAGAATAGACTAGATCACTGTCTAGTCTATAGAATGAACTAGATCACTGTCTGGTCTATAGAATATATTAGATCACTCTAAGGACTAAACCTTTGTCTAGTCTATAGAATATACTAGATCACTGTCTAGTCTAAGGACTAGACCTCTGTCTAGTCTATAGAATGGACTAGATCACTGTCTAGTCTATAGAATGGACTAGATCATTCTGTAGTCTATAGAATAGATTAGATCAATGTCTAGTCTAAGGACTAAACTTTTGTCTAGTCTATAGAATACACTAGATCACTGTTTAGTCTATAGAATAGACTAGACCTCTGTCTAGTCTATAGAATAGAC